CCCGTCGGAAACGATCATAAGCTTATTGCATGTGTGCTTTCAACGGGCGTACTGTGCAGTTAGTTGAGTTGTAGAATAGCGCCTTCTGCTTGGCCAGCCTTTGTGTGCAATTGTGTCGCATGTACTGCTCGCGCACGCCGATAACCATGTGGTGAGGTCCCAGAATGTTTTGTCCTTCAACCTTCTCGCCTCCGTTTTCCTTGACTGAACCTTGTGTTTAAACGTCTTGACCACACCGCTGGAACTCCATCGTCATTTACACGGGGACACGACTCCAGTGCTTCACATTCAGGTTGTAATATTTTATTAATAGTTTACATGCCTTGGCACACTTGCTGCTCTGGGTCGTTATTATATTTGGATGTTAGTTTTACGACGTCAGATAAGCTGTTAAGTAATCAAACCAAGGTGGTGAATTTTTTCTACATCACGAACTTTGCCTTCTGATACACATCTACTTTTTTGGGCTTTTCAGGTATATCCTATTTTAGTTAGACTCTGATAATAACTGACACGAATACCACCATCTCTATTCGTTCCGTCACAGTGTCTGCCAGAGCTCTGGCAACAGGCTTCGACACTTTACCTTTTTCGCATTGAGGCATGCTTTCACTCGGTTAAGCTCATGGAGGAGATTGATAAGTTTTATAAACTGGTTAAAGCCCTTCCTCCCACTATTTTAGCTCAGGTTAAGACCTTTTTGAGTGATCCCTAGGCGGAGAATCCTTATACCAAACGCAAGACAGCTTTAACGCCCAACTTCGTTCTCTGATCGCTAACGCTATCATGCTCTAGTGAAAGAAGAATCGTTAGGTGACCGTAAGCCGTCTGAACTCCTCCGTCGGATGCGTTCGCTTCTTGGTGATAGAACTATTGACGACAATTTTTTCAAAGGGTTGTTTTTGGAACGGCTACTCACCTCGATTCAAACCATTTCGGCTTCTGTCTCGGACGATTTCGACGTTTTGAAGCTAGTTACTATGACTGATCCAATGACGGAGGTGGAGCGTTTCTCCGCCGTAACAATGGCTTAAGATTTAGAGCCTGTAACTGCCTTCACCTCTGAGTTGTTTGACCTCAAAGCACAGGTAGCTCAACTGGTAGCAATTATTGCCACCCTACAGTTACGCGCATCTACCACTCCATCCCAGCGTTCCATCCCTTTCGCTTTACAAACGGGCAGTGCCACGAGACATCCCACTGTCTCAGATTGCTACCCACACCCTCGAGAAAGGCCACGAATGTAACTTCGCGGAAACGTGGACACTGGCACGGGCCGGCAACTATATGGGGCAAGAAGGGGCCTGAGCATCTGACTCCAACTCCATCAACAGACCTGTTGACATACTCCCTGCTGTCACGTCCTTCGTTCGGCGGCCAAGAGGCGCGGTCCAGTTACCAGCCAAGGACGCACGCCATAGAACGGCGTGGAATCAATCTTATCACGAATGCAACCCACTCCCCTCTTCTCGTAACTGAACTACAAAAGCCCGTCAATTTTTGCTAAACAACGCTTCTGAAGATAGCCCTCTTTGCACAGCCGAAAGCTCAGACGGGGCAGGAACTACTGGAGACTTGGGTATCTGACGCCAACTCCATCAACAGACACGTTGATATACCTCCCCCCTGCAATCACGTTCTTCGTTCGCGCGGCCCAGTTCCCAACCAAGGACGCATGCCGTCACGACGCCGTGGACTCAGTATTAAGACGAACATCACCTCCCTCTTCCTCCAACCGGCCCCCTTCCTCTTTGGTAGACAACTATAACCACTCATTTATTGCTATCCGCCCAAAGTCTCTGATGGCTGTCTGTACGAGAACGAAAGTTCAGGCAAACACACGTACTGTCCCGGTGCTCACGTGTTCATCTTCTTCGCCACAAGATTCTGGGGCTTGCATATTCGATTCCCTTCCTAGTAAATAATTCGTTCCTGATCTTCATCAATGTGCGGGCTTCCTGCCTCCACTTTCT